GAAACTGCTATGTTTATAAATGGGTTAATCCAGCCCTCAAATCCTCTAGTGGCTGTCTCATTGATCCTCATTGATCCTCTAGTGGCTGTCTCAACACGCAAGCGTCCATAGGAAAGCATTGTAAATGCTTTCCTAAGAGACCGGCTGAATGCGCGCGCAGCTTTTGCTGCGCGTGCGCATTCAGCCGAAAGGGAGGAGAAGAGGCAGAGAGGAGGAGGAGAGCCTTTAACCCTTTCCTCTCCCCAGAGCCGGGCGGGAGGGGGACCCTGAGGGTGGGGGCACCCTCAGGGCACTATAGTGCCAGGAAAACGAGTATGTTTTCCTGGCACTATAGTGGTCCTTTAAGGACAATCAATTTATTAATTGGTTGATTAATAAATACGTTTTGCCCCCAACATTTAATAGTACTCAGTTTTGACAGGATAAAATAATCTAAACAAATATCTGTCATTATTATGCTAATTGAAAATAAAATGCAAAAAACAAACAAACTAGGAAATGTGTGGGTACGCATGTTTTAATCATTGTATTTGTATATACTTATTGCATATTAGCATACACTTCCTAACATTAACTCTTTGGTTTAAATCATTGACACACATAAAGATATTTAGCTTGCTCAAGTGGTTTATGTGTGAAGAGTGTGTAAACTTTTGTAATTTCATAATTCTATTCTCTTACAACTCCCAGATGTCAATCAGACAACCAGGAAGTAACAGGACCGTTTGTCTAATGGACAGCCTTTAGTATGTAACAAGGTTCATTTATAAAAGTGCCAATTTCTATAAATAAATTAAAAAAAAACTTTTTGCAAAATGAAAAAAGGACACACTTTTCGCAAATAGAGCATTTTAAAAAGCTGAAGTGATTTAGGGGGTCTGGTTGGTCCCTTTAACTCTTTAAGGTTCAGATATGGTGTTTGTCAGAGGTGTCCAAAAGGTAGAGCCCCAGATGTTTTAAAACTACATCTTCCATGATACTTTGTATTTCTAAAGGCATTGTAAAGGCATGGGAGTTTTAAAGTTTTACAACATCTGGGGATCTACCTTTTGGGCACCCCTGGTGCATGTCAACAATGCATTCCTTAAATCTACACACCAGCTGACTGAAATGCTTTATATGTAAAAGATGAGTCCATGAAAAGTGCAGATTTCAGTACATTTATAAATTAACCTTATTATACCCCTGGCTGTCAATCAGACAATCGATCATATTACCATATTTTTCAGTGTATAAGACGTCCCCATGTATGAGACGACCCCTATTTTTGGAGCCCAAAATTAAGAAATACATATTTTAAACATCTTTAGCACTGAAGTCCAGTTTGGCTGAAAAGGATGCCCCACCGGTCCCTGGCCCCCTAACACTGCGGTAGGCCACTCCCTGAGGTCCAACCACGTCCATACACTGGTTCCCTGGACCGCCGTCCTGCTGTTGGCGACAATGATGCTCTCAGAAGCCATACTGTGGGGAATTACCCTGGTGGACCTTTCATTCAGGAATGTAAAGCAGGTGTGGCACTCAGGCATCTGTAAGCTCCTCCACTTCCACGGTACCCTACAGGGGATGTCCGGGCAGGCCTCATCCTGCAGAATCTTTCTGTAGTCCAGAGCGATGAGGTCTTAAAGTGGTCCAGAGTGATGCGAGGAAGCATGTGGTTGCGCAAGATCTCCCAGATTCTTGAACACACCTTGTTAGCCACTTTCTCAAGCACATACCTAATTAGGCTGTCAAGTGTTTTTTTTCCCTTCTTACCCCTGCAGTGACATTCCGTGTATAAGACGTGCCCCAATTTTAGACTAAAATTTTTTTTTTTTTTAAACATGGGAAAATACGGTACTTCCTGGTTTGGTTAGCCCAGTGGAGCTAAACTTAAAAGGCAGCACACAAGAGATCTGCAGGTTTTACCAGTTGTTTTTAGATTTACCCCCAATGGGAAAATGCATAATTAAATGCATGAAAGCTTCAAACTGTAAATTCGTGACTGCGGAGTATCGGGGTTCTGCAAAACTAATTATGCTGGAAAATCCATGTTTGCATACATTTTAAAGGGCTAAACATAGAAGAGGATTAATTTATGTGCTGCACTGCTGAACTCAAATGACAGTTAGCACATTTCACCACCAGAGGTCAGCAACACCTGCAAATTGTTAACATATAGAAACGCTGGCTCATTGTATGGTGATGACAGATTTAGTAGCAAACATAAAGGTTATTAAGAAAACAATTTGTTAAACACAGTTATTAAGTGTTTGAGAATGTGGAGAACATTCGTAACATTGCATAGAACATTACCTCTTGTTGAAAGCTGCAAACATAAGGATTCAAGGGCCCCTTAGAATATCCCCTATCCATGTAGAAGGAAGGAGAATGGAGGTAGACAGACGATAAATAGGGAACTGTTGAAAGAAACGGTTTGCTAAAATCAGATGAGACCACCCAAAGTGCGGCCAGTTAGCTGGAATTATATATAATGCAATTTTTCTCCTGGATAAGAGAGTGTTCACTCAGACCAGAAGCCTCCAGGTTTAAACTAGATAAATATTTATTCAAATGGTTTTCGTATTGTATCATCCTTGTATCATCCTTCTGTTTGCAAGTTCTGATACCCACAATGCTTTACTCTACCACACAAACTGTTGTAGAGAATAATAAATATATTTGCTGACCCATATTTGCTGTACAGCTTTTTTTTTTACTGCATATTGTATGTTTTATCGTACATTTTAGAGTATGGTTTATTGTACTTATTATATGGCTTATTGCATGACTTTTAAAATGGTCAATTAATAGCTTATTGTATAACCTATTGTTAAAGTTGTTTTCCTGGCATTACAGCTCCCTATATTTGTGCACTAGACTCGTGTGCTCCCTATGTCCTCAGGGCTTCTCTCTGAGAAGCATTTTAGTGGGCAATGATGGTTAAGCTATGGGAAGTGTCAGAGGATCACCGTCGGATGTAGAGGCAGTTGGAAAAAAAAGGTAAATTTAAATAGATTTATTAAACGATAACTCAAAATGATTTATTTAAATATCAAAGGTCCTGGCACTTAATAAAACATGACTTATTGGAATAACTTAGAGAAACATGACTTATTGGGATAACTTAGTGAAACATGACCTATCGAGATAACTTAGTGAAACATGACCGATTGGAATAACTTTGTGAAACATGACCTATCAGCATAACTTAGTGAAACATGACCGATTGGGATAACTTAGAGAAACGTGACTGATTGGGATAACTTAGTTAAACATAACCTATCGAGATAACTTTGTGAAACATGGCCTATCGGGATTACTTAGAGAAACATGACTGATTGGAATAACTTAGTGAAACATGACCGATTGGGATAACTTAGTGAAACATGGCTGATTGGAATACTTTAGTCAAAACATGACCAATCGAGATAACTTTGTGAAACATGGCCTAACAGGATAACTTAGTGAAACATAACCAATTGGAATAACTTAGTGAAACATGATTGCTTGGGATAACTTAGTGAAACATGACCGATTGGGATAACTTAGTGAAACATGACCGATTGGGATAACTTAGTGAAACATGGCCTATCAGGATAACTTAGAGAAACATGACCGATTGGAATAATTTAGTAAAACATGACTTATTGGAATAACTTAGAGAAACATGCCTGCTTGGGATAACCTAGTGAAACATGACTGATTCGGATATTTTAGTAAAACATGACCCATCAGCATAACTTAGTGAAACATGACCTATCGGGATAACTTAGTGAAACATGACCGACTGGAATAATTTTGTGAAACATGACCGATTGGGATAACTTAGTGAAACATGGCCTATCAGGATAACTTTGTGAAACATTACCTATCGAGATTATCTCCTTCCCTTAGGGATGTTGGCGTTTCTAAAGCCTTATTGCGCCTTAAAAGTTTAATACACCAATTCCAAAGGCCAGAGGATTGGGGAAACATGCACAAGTTCCATTTATATTTTGTTAACAATATAAAAATTAACACATTTGATAAAATAATTTAGTACATGTGATGGGGATTATATGTACTGTATATTCGGAAAAACAATATGTACAGAAATAACCTTAAAATGTTTCAGCTACTGCGATGTACTATATTAAGTCACTAATCCCAGCACAGTCCGAATGTGCTTCACAAGTGACTGAATATTTGCTATTGTCAGATGATTCAAAACACATTCGAGCGCACATGCGATCCTGCCAAAATCATGTCCACGAATCCATGATGAGAACACGGAAGACATATGTTCTGGATAAGTCATGTTGTATAGAACTTAATGAAAAAAGTGAAAGGCGAGTTAGTGCAAGCTTAATGGATAATCGTTGGATAACATCCAGACTCGCTGTAATTAGTATGTTTATTGTCTGATTTGGGATTATAAAAAAACATTGAAAAACGTCTAGTTTGAAATAGAGCAATAAGGAGCAACATTGTTTAATACACTGGCCACTCTGCCTCAATCTGTAAAAAAAAATGGTTAATTCTGAATAATGGCTCTCAAAACTTAAAAAAATGACAATTGTCACCTATTAAAGGTAATTTACAAATGTAAATAAATATTCTTGAATTTGGGATCCAAACTCTTTTAGAACCAATTTTAGCTATCAAAGGAATTTTTTATTAAAAGAACAATAAAACTTTCATCAACAAGCGCCAACACTTTCCCAAAACCTCCATATTTTAATCGAACACATCGGAGGTTAACCTTGTCAAACCCAGATTTTTCTGAGCTTTGTATTTCTTTAAGGCTGGTTAAGCATTATGGGGAATGTAGTTGAAATTTGTCATGGGAGGCATGTCAATGTCAGCCTTTAGGGATAGCTATACAGCAGCTGTCTGCATGTGGAATGTGTTTTGCTGTAATTCAGAACACAGTGGCGGCATGTTCCGTGGAATTGAACTTACATAATTATAAAGACTAATTGATGAGTGTAGACACAGGAACGCCAAGTATCCCAAGTCAGATTCTACAGCTTCAGGTGTTACAGTAACTTTCCCACACATAAATCATCTGAGACATATTTATAGTGTCTTATACTGTAGGTCGTGCTCTTGGGTGGGCTTGGTGGTAGGTGTGCGGGAGTCAGCCTCCGGTGATCTCTGTAGCGCTGCATGTGGTGGCTTAATGCATCTCCGCCTCTTCCTCCCTGACCTGGCTCATTCCAGGCTCGGAACCTGTTGCTTCTTAGCAGACACCTGTAGGTATTTATTCGGCCTGCGCTGGCTATGTGCCGGTGTGATGGGATCGTTGGTCTCTCTTCTGGTAGATCGCCATGTGGTCTCCGCCATTTTGAGTGCGGCCTCTGAGCCTCAGGTGGACACTGCCACAGCTCTGTATGCCGGTGTCTTTGCACCTCCTCGGGCCCCAGGGTGTGGACCGGGATCACCCCCATGGTCCATAGGGGGGAACGGGGCCAACTCCACTCTGCTTCGTACTTCTGGCATGGCACTGTTAGGCGGGATAGTGGGGCAGCAGCGTCCACCTCACTCACCGCCCGAGTGATCCCCATGATGGACGACAGAGAGCACCCCTCCAAGGGACTAAAACCGGTCGGCAAGCCTCTCCTCGGAGCCAGGATGCCTTCTTGCACTGGGCCACAGCTTCCAGTTGTCAGGTGGGTATCTTTTCAGTTTTTATGTATTGAAAACCTAAGACGTTTCAGGAGCTTCTCTGTTATGCGACTTTGCAGCATGGCGGTCCAGCCCGGCTCCCTTCTCTTTTTCTTTTTAACATATGCTATTTACCTATTTTTTGAGTTGCTTACTTCTTGCATGGGTAAAACCTGTGGCTGTGTGTTGCAATCAGGCACCTGAAGGAAACTTTGGGCCACTTTTTAAATCATACCGATAAATATTTCTCCTTTTTCTGTTATACTAACATATGGGGTTATGCCCCCTATTTTACCCATATAGTCCAACCTTTGACTATCGGGTCAGTAGCTTTGACCTCCTGGTCATCTTTCTTTTTGAACTTTAGAGATCTCTAGCTCAGAGACAAGGGGAAAAGGAATGGGGGGAGATACAGAATGGCAGTATTGAAGGGGAGGATTAGAGGGTAGACAGCATTCCTAATTTTGTTTGATCTTGTCAGCACAGTGACATGCAAAATCACTAGCTGTGAGATTATTTAATGGTGGCGATGCAGTGGGGCGAAGAAGGGAGTTAAAGGTATGAAAGAAGCATTTGGCATGATGAGAGTAGGTGGAAATGAGAGTGGTAAAATACTCTTGAATTGTAAGGGAAAGGGCAGAATTATAGGAATTTAGCGTTTTTTTGTAATGTACAAAGTCTGGTGTGGTGTGAAACGTTGTCCAGCAAAGTTCTCCAGTACAGTAGCATTGTTAAAGATAGCGGGTGAGCTTGCAAAGCCAGGGTTAAAGACGTGACTGATGCCTTGAGTGAGCTTTGATTGGTGCAGCCATATCTACAGCAATAGATAGGACAGAATTGTAGTGTGAGGTAGCTTGAGAGGGACAAGAGAGAGTTGAGAGGGGAGAAAGTGGAGAGAGGAAGCGAAGTGAGATTAGGTTTTTGAAGGCCTGGGATAAGCTAGGTTTAATTTGTTGAGTGAGGGGCACATTGACAGTGTAGGTTAGTAGATGTAGATGGTGGTCAGACAGAGGGCAAGGTGTGTTAGAGACAGAGAAAAGATTGAAGAAAACAAGGTCAAGGGTATTGCCGACTATGTGTTTAGGGGAGTTGGTCCATTGAGTAAGGAGAAAGGAGGAGGTGATAGATAAAATGCTGAAGCGTTGTTAGGTAGGTTAATAACTATGTTTAAGTCACCAAGGATGAAGGAAGGAATGTCAGAGGAAAGAAAGTAAGGAAGCCAAGCAGAAATTGGTTGAAGAAGAGTAGAGGAGAGCCTGGAGAGTGGTAGAATACAGCAACACCAGCTTAGAGAGAACTAGAGATGGATGGAATGGACTTTAAAAGGAAAGAGAAGAGCAATGGGGCAAAGGTTGGGGAAAGCAAAAATCCCACAGAATCACCCTTAGCATTGCTTGGCCTGGGTGAGTACCTGGGAAGACAAGAGGCAGGAGGTGAGTCCTGCTGACCATTTTATAGCCCCTTCTTACTAGAACTCAAAATGTTTATATAATCCAGCCAATCCTTATAGTCATACCTCAGACATTCCGTAGGCTTATCGTGGGATTTGCAGTCATAGCCCATTACCCACACACTGTCATGGGTGTCCTTTCAAACAGGGATGTTAACTAAACTCTGAGAATTGAAAGGCAACTCAAATTTGTAGACCATAAAAAAAAAAAACTGAAAATGAAAAATGTTTTGCAATTTCCTTGTCAATCCAGTTTAATGGATAGCCCCAAAAGCAGACTACTGGCTAGATATAGACCTGGTGCTTTGGGATTATGATGAGTAGGATGGTTCACAGCTAGTAATTCCAATGCCAGATGAGCATGTTGTTACAGCGCCCATCTTAAATACGGGTGTCCCATTTCCTGAAAATAAGAGGGATTTGCAGGGTTCAATTAGGGGTACATGACACCCAGACGACTTGAATGAGATGAAGTGGCCTGGGTGCTTAAAGTGTTCCTTTTGTTCATCATTAAACTCAGAATTGTATTATCGCAGCCACTCCATGGGTCTCTAGGCTGAGTACTCACCAAATTGTTAGCACACACGCTCTCTGCGCCCCTCAAAGATTGGCAGATTATCCTATTTAAATTCCAGTTGAGTGCACACTGGCACATATTTTCCAGCAGTCACTCTCCCATACACACTGCTACATGGACAGGGGTGATTAAGATGCCCTGGGCACATCACGTTCTCCACTGGCTTAAAGGTTCTGGAAGATCTGGTTTATCCAAAATAACTAACTCTCTTGGAATCATTTTAGTAAACAAGGCAGGGTGCACTTAGCTTACTTGGCACCCAAGAGGGAAGTGTATGTTGACATACATTAGAATGTTGTTCGAAACTTACTAAACCTCTTTTGTTAGAGTAATTAGATGCACACCCACAATCATATATAATCACATCCATTCATAAACACTCTTACTTCATTTTAATTTTAGATTAGACAGAAAAGTTATACCAGCGCAGAAGGAAAAAAACACTTTGCTAAATCTCCATTCACAAAAATAGTGTATCTTCTACCAAATATACGAAAATAAATAAAAAAAACAAGCACTACTTTAATAATATGATTCAGCGTCCCATGTGGTCATTTTCTTCTAAATAGAGAGCTATTCGTTCTCACATAAAAAAACACAAATTACACAAATCATGGAGTAGTAGTAAAAGACAATGTGACTACTAAAAATATATTTTTTAAAGGAGAAGTTCACTACTTTTTTGTATATCTGTTCCAAGGCACAACCTAAAACGCTGCTATACCGGTAAGTATGTAACCAAAAATGTAAAAACAGTGAATATACAAATAAAATATACCAAAACGCATTTCGCCTATAGTGCATATTGCTTCCTCAGAACCATATTATTTAAGAAGTACTTCATTTTTATTTTATTGATTTATTTATAATATAATGATGTCCATCCAGCCTCCCTTTTCCTACCGTTGCAGGGAGAGCTGGCGTGGAGCCTCCTCTCTGGGTCCAGTTGGGATGATTCTATGCACTGGCTGCACAGCTCGCAGTAAACCCTACATCTCTGTCCTCATTCCAACACTGGAAAGACTTCACATCCCAGCAGGGCCGCCATCAGGGCATGACAACCATAATGGTTGTCATGGGCCCGGCGGTCATGGGGGGCCCGGACTGCTCAGGTTGTCCGGGCCCCACATTCAGTGGTGTACATACCGGGTCGCAGGGGGCCCTGCGACCCCGGTATGTACCTACTGGGCCAGCCTCTTCTCCTGGGGGGCCCAGCAGCCGTTCACCTCAGTGCCCCCCCGAGGCTGGCCCTGGTGTCATCCGGTGGGTGGGCGCGCGAGGGAGCCCTCTCCCTGGCTGAGTACTTCCTCTTCAGCTGCCTCGCGCACCGCACTGATGCCAGAGCCGGAAGATGACGTCATCTTCCGGCGCCGGCATCAGTACGCAGCGCTCGAGGGAGCTGAAGAGGAAGCACTCAGCCAGGGAGAGTGCTCCCTCGTGCGCCCGCCCGCGCACCTGCCATCAGGAGCGGCCGCCAGGTGACACCACTGGACCCCAGAGAATCCCCTCAGCACTCCTACAGGTAGGGAGGCTGGGGGGATGAAATTAAAAAAAAAGTATGTGGAAGGAAATTTGAGGGGGGAGGAGAAGAAGGAAGTTGGAGGGGGGGAGAAGAAGGAAGTTGGAGGGGGGAGAAGGAAATGAGAGGGAGGGGAGAAGAAGGAAATTGGAGAGGGGGGTAGAAGAAGGAAGTTGCAGTGGGGGTAGAAGAAGGAAATTGGAGAGGGAGGGGGAGAAGAAGGAAATTGGAGAGGGAGGGGGAAAAGAAGGAAATTGGAGAGGGGGTAGAAGAAGGAAGTTGGAGAAGGAGGAGGAGAAGAAGGAAATTGGAGAGGGGGGGAGAATGCTTTGGGAATGCTGGGGTTGAATATAACTTTCCCTGGGGTCCAGTGGGGCTGCTGGGCGGCCGGCCGGTGACTGCAGTCGGCGAGCGAGCACCAATCCTCCTGTTCAGCTTGTGCACGGCATAGTGATGCCGAATATGAATTATGTCATATTCCGGCTCCGGCATCACTGCGGTGCGGGCGAGGGAGCTGAAAAGGAGGATTAGTGCTCCCTTGCAGCCCACCAGAAAAGTGCCGCCGCTGCCAGTCTGGGGGCCCTGAGGTGGCCACCCGGCCAGCTTCTGGGCCCCCAGGACAAGAGGCTGTCAAGGCATTTGCCAGGGCAATTGGGGCGGCTTTTTTTGCCGCCCCCAGGAAGTGCTGCCCAAGACAAATGCCTTGTTTGCTTCGGGGTAAACACATCCCTGTCCACACCTACTTTCTGCCTGCTCTGCATCATATTGATATCATCGCAGCAGGCACCGGCAGAGCAGCGCACCTATCAAAATTGCCCTGATATATTGTTACCAGATCTGCCAATTAAAATGCCTGGCTATGACAGGGGGCTAATCTGTGCACTCCACTGCTGCCTGTCACCGACCAGACACTTTCAAGGCTGGAAGAAAGGAGATTTCATCTAAGGCAAAGAAAAGGTTTTTTTTACATATTGATTCCTGTCTGTGTTATTTGGTATTTGACTTGGCTTGTTTAATATTGTCTATTCTGCTTTCTGGTATCTTGACTCGGCTCGTTTTCTCGTTTATCCTGTTTTCTGGTATCCTAACCCAGCTACTCTTTATCGTTGACATGATCTCTGGTTTTCCTTGACTATTCCATCGCTATCCACGTTAAACGTGCCATTCTAAGGTCCAGTAATCTGTTTTCTAATTTGGATTATATTCTGCGTGTTGGGGTCACTTGTCGTGACAGACAGAGATTGACTTGTGATTGTCATCCTGGGAAAGGTCAGCTCTACGCTACTTATCTCCTCACTTAAACTTCCATTACAGAATTTTTGATGCAAATACACAATAAAAGACAATAAACAGTAATTGCGCAAAGCATTCCTGCTACTTGACACCAGGTCATCAATCTGTACGGTTACTTGCATCATTCCTTCAACAGTTCTGATGTGGCTGTAAGGTTACCAGTGGCCGCGCAATGTGTATCGGTACGTGTGTCATTGTACGTCGGTTCTGACGTGGCTGTAAGGTTACCTGTGGCCGCGCAATGTGTATCGGTACGTGTGTCATTGTATGTCGGTTCTGACGTGGCTGTAAGGTTACCTGTGGCCGCGCAATGTGTATCGGTACGTGTCATTGTACGTCGGTACTGACGCTTGACGCTAGTACACTGCGCCCCTTCATACTCTTCAGGTTGTATGTTACTTTACTTTAAAGGACCACTATTCTCAATGCTTTCCTATGGATGCTGGCGTCTTCTCACTGTGAAAATCACAGCGAGAAGTGTGGAAGCACCTCTAGCGGCTGTCAATGAAACTGCTATGTTTACAGCAGAAAGGCTTTAAACCTAGCTGGACCTGGCACCCAGACCACTTCATTGAGCTGAAGTGGTCTGGGTGCCTATAGTGGTCCTTTAATGTCCACTTACGATTTGGACTCATATGAATGACACAACTTTAAATCTAAAAACCTTAGATGCACTGTGCTCTGTTATAGTTTCCTTGTGATCATCATCCCAGTAGCGTTTCTTGCCTCGATTCTCTGGTATTTGGTTTGTTCTCGATTATCTTGTTCCATGGCATCCTAG